AGGAGTTATTGTGCTGTCTTTTTGTCTGAGATGTTGTACTGCTTCTCTGTTTGTGTTTTCAAGTCCTTAATTGCCAACTATCTTCACTGAGATATTACAGGCAAGATATGCTATCTGAGAGTTGTTTTAAAACAGTAAAGAATTTTTTGCTTTTTTTGTGGGTAGGACTCAAGAAACAGTACCTAGAGAAAGATGATGGTTGAAGAAGCTTGATGATGGGTACATGCTAATTTGTTACATTATTTTTCCTAACTTGAGTTTATTTAACTATTTGCATAAGTTCAGTTCAGTTCAGTTCAGTTGCTCAATCACGGCCAACTCTGCAACCCCATGGATTGCAGCACGCCAGGCCTCCCTGTCCATCACCAACTCCTGGAGCTTACTCAAACTCATGTCCATTGAGTTGGTGATGCCATCCAGCCATCTCATCCAGTCGTCCCCTTCTCCTCCTGCCCTCAATCCTTCCCAACATCAGGGCCTTTTCAAATGAGTCAGTTCTTCACATCAGGTGGCCAAAGTATGGGAGTTTCAGGTTCGGCATCAGTCCTTCCAATGAACACTCAAGACTGATCTCCTTTAGGATGGACTGATTGGATCTCCTTGCAGTCCAAGGGACTCTCAAGAGTCTTCTCCAACACCACAGTTCAAAAGCATCAATTCTTCAGTGCTCAACAGGTCATCATCAAATAAAGAAGCAAAGGCAAGTAAGTGGTCAAAGTTGAAGGAAAAGATCAACATTGGCTAGGTCACAACCTGTGAGTAGCTGAATTACCAGTGCAAACAGCAGAAAAGAGAGGACAGGTGTTTGTGGCTAGACTAAACTTAAACACTCCAATTCAATGTCTAAAATTGAAACCATCCTCAATTCCCACAAACATTTTACCCTCTACAAACCAGAAACCTAGAAGTCAACTCCAGAACCTCTTTCTCGTCACCTCTCGCACCTCTTGAATTCATCACTTGTGTGTGTCTTAAATTCCTTCACTTCTCTTTATCATAGGGACCACCACTCCGGTCCAAGCCACATAATCTATTGTCTGGGTTACTCCAATAATCTCCTAAGAATCATTCCTACATTTACTCTTGCTTCCACCCTACGTCTGTTGTCATGTCAACAGTTTGAGTCAAATGTTTTAAACGTGCACATGATTACATCAAACCTCTGTTTCAAATCCTTCAAGTACTATGACCCCAGCCACACATACCTTCTATACATATATCCCATCTATTTGGGGGTTATAGCCACTTTAACTGCTTAGGATCCTTGAACATGTCATGCCGTTTCCAAGTTGGAATTTCCGCATATTGTGTTTCCTTGGTCTAGAAAGCTTACACTCCTATTATTCTCTTCACCAAACAGACTTCTACTAATCTTTTGATGTCTCTTGAAATATGCTGTGCTGTGCTGTTCTTGGTCTCTCAGTCATGCAAAGAGTCTGACTCTTTGCAACCCTATGGACTGCAGCCCTCCAGGCTCCTCCATCCTTGGGATTCTCCAGGCAAGAATGTTGTAGTGGGTTGCCATTCCCTTCTCCAATAAATATTATTAAATTTGATAAAATTAAGACATTATTTTAATAGGGTATATGTTTCATGAGGGTATAAACCTCTCATATGAGAAACCAAACCTTTCACTGTGCTTCCCATAGTATCCCTTCCTCTCATAGTATGCTTGGTAATTGATGCTTCATAAGTAATTACAGAATATTTAGAGGCCCTAATTCTGACTAATACAGCCTCACATTAGCTAAGGTGTTAACTCATACAATAATCTCCCAGGATAGGACAGAACACTTCCAAATTCTGTAAACTGGAGACAGTTAGTAAATGTATATCTAGAGTTCAAGGAGGAACCAATCTAGAAGGGGTTTGACAAAAAGTTCGTACTTTTTAAAAATTGAAATATAGTTGATTAGTGACGTTATGTTAGTTTCAGGCACATAGCAAAGTGATTCAGATATGTATATATACATATATGTATAATCTTCAGATTCTTTTCCCTTATAAGTTATAACAAAATATTATTTTCTCTGTACTATACAGCAGATCCTTTTTGTCTATCTATTTCATGTATAGTAATGTGTATATGTTAATCCTGAGCTCCTAATTTATCCCTCCACCTCTTTTCCCCTTTGGTAATCACCTCTTTGTTTTCTATGTCTGTGAGTTTATTTCTTTTTTTTAAATGTAAGTTCATTTGTATCATTTTTTAAATTTTAGATTCTACATACAAATGATATCAAGTATTTGTCTTTCTCTGTCTGACTTAGTATGACAGTCTCTAGGTCCATCCACGTTGCTGCAAAAGGCATTATTTCATTCTCTTTTATGACTGAATAATAGTCCATTGTACGTATGAAGCACTTCTTCCTTATCCATTTGTGACAGATTTTTATATTGCTCCCATGTCTTGGCTATAGTGAATTGTGCTGCAGTGAACATGGGGATGCATGCATCTTTTCGAATTATGATTTTCTGTTAATATATGCCCAAGAGTAGACTTGCTAAGTCATATGGTAGATCTATTTTCAGTTTTTTAAGCAACCTACATGCTGTTCTCCATAGTGGCTATACCAATAGACATTTCTCCAAAGAATTTTGTAATAGCAATAAGACTGTTTTACAGATAGGCCAGAGGAGATAATGTCCTATATTTGAAACTAATAAACAAGTCTACTGATTTAAGGTTATCAGTTTTGCAAATGAAATAAAGAGGACTGAGTACATCAGGAGTTCCTCTGAGCATGCTCTGAAAAAGAGACTCGGGAGAATAGACACAGATGCCCAGTGGTGTGATGGAGGCATTCTCAGTTACTCACTGGGAAGCCTGATGCAGGGGCAGTGAGGGGTAGGGGATATAAAGCAAAATTTCTAATTAAATTGAACATGAGAAGCTAAGCTCTGTCTGTAAGTAGATTCAACAGAATTACAAAAGGTCACATATGCTTATAGTAACATAGAACCAAGACTTCCAGGGACAAGAAGCCTTGTGTTAGTCTCTGTGGCTTGGAAAGCAAGAAGAAAAAAGATTAAGCCTCCTTGTGGAGATCATGTGATGACTTCCTGATCCAGCCAGAGGCAGCATTTCCATGGAAACTTCTCTTATCTTCCTCTTATGCACACACTGCTTCCTTCCACCTAGAACCGCTAGCGTCTCAAGAGAGCTGTAGGGCGGCCTCAATAGTTTTTCTAAATAGCAAAACAAACTCAAGTAGAATGGGAAGAGAACAGAAAGGCTGACATTCTGGCATCACATGTAGTGATTGCATTCCTGCTGCTTTTCCAGTTTTCACCTTCTTGCCTTATTCTGCAAGTTCAAGTGGCTACTAGCTTTAAGTATGGAACAGGATAAGGAAAAAAGCCCTCACAGGGACAACTTTGACTTGACTGCTCTTATCTTCTAGCTCTTCTACTCACTTTAGTTCAAACCACTTAGTTTTTAAGCCCCTCCATGGATTAGGTCCCTGGCGCCTCAGATGGTAAAGAATCCACCTGCAATGCAGGAGACCTGGGTTTGATCCCTGGGTTGGGAAGATCCCCTGGAGGAGGGCATGGCAACCCACTCCAGATCAAGTAGAATGGGAAGAGAACAGAAAGGCTGACATTCTGGCATCACATGTAGTGATTGCATTCCTGCTGCTTTTCCAGTTTTCACCTTCTTGCCCTATTCTGCAAGTTCAAGTGGCTACTAGCTTTAAGTATGGAACAGGATAAGGAAAAAAGCTCTCACAGGGACAACTTTGACTTGACTGCTCTTATCTTCTAGCTCTTCTACTCACTTTACTTCAAACCACTTAGTTTTTAAGCCCCTCCATGGATTAGGTCCCTGGTGCCTCAGATGGTAAAGAATCCACCTGCAATGCAGGAGACTTGGGTTTGATCCCTGGGTTGGGAAGATCCCCTGGAGGAGGGCATGGCAACCCACTCCAGTATTCTTGCTTGGAGACTCCCCATGGACAGAGGAGCCTGGGGTCACAAAGAGTCGCGGACATGACCAAGCAACTAATCACAGCACAGCACATGGACGGGGCCCAGGTTTAATTCCTTATGGCCTGGGTCCACGCGTGAAGATCATGCTGCAGCTCAGAGATGAAAAACACAGCTCTCATCTCTCTACAGTTTCCCCTGCCTGAAGTATTGTGTCCGTTCTCATTTGTCTTTCCAACTTATGCCCATCCTTCAAAACTTGACTCAGAGGATACTCCTATTAAAAACTCATGCATTATTAATTATTTCAAATGATTCAATCTTTTCTATATCCTCAGTTCTCAGAGATGTCTCTCCATTAAAAGTCTGATGCTCTTATTTTCTATACTACTCATTTAAAAACTAGTGTAGTGGTAAAATGATATTTCTATCCATGCATTTCAGTTTATCTAGCTCACTATACACACAGAGACCAAAAAAAAAATCTTGAAAGAATTTGCATGATCAATAAAAATTTGTTGAATAAATGTATCAGACCTTATTCACTCACTCAGTACAATGAGAACTCCTTTGTAAGACCAAATTGCAAACAAAACTTCAGATGAAGTACTGATTTCTAGAACTTATGGGTGAAACTAGGTGGTGAAAGCATTAAAATAAGAAAAGTACAAGTTATTATATATATAATACTATATATAAATAAGCAGAAATACATATTGTGCAGCACAGGTAATATAGCCAATATTTTATAATAACTTTAGTATAACACTAAAATATTGAATCACTATGTTGTATACCTGAAACTAATAAAATATTGACAACCACCTACACTTCAATAAAAAAGTTTCCTTTTGAATGTGTGCTGCGTTCTCAATTGCTCAGTCATGTCTGACTCTTTGTGATCCCGTGAACTATAGCCCACCAGCTCCTCTGCCCATAGAATTTTCCAGGCAAGAATAATGGAATGGGCTGCCATTTCCTCCTCCAGAGGATCTTCCCAACCCAAGGATTGAACCTGTGTCTCTTGATTCTCCTGCATTGGCAGATAGATTCTTTACCACTGAGCCACCTGGGAAGATTTCTTTCAAATATTCATCAGAAAACATTTCCAAAGTAAAGCTGACGACCCAGCTATCAAAGTGACCTATCCTTAGCAATATTCAGAAAATGAGCAATTAGACAGCAGGCAGCAGCTGGCATCAAGATAATCAGGAAGAAAAAAGTTTTAATCTTCTGATACTTTGTATAAAATAAATAAGCTTCAGATATAAGAAATAATCTCCAGGCTCTGAAAAATGTCTCTTCCTGCAAAGCCAAATCCTACCAATGCCTTGGCTTATTTATTATTTATGGTTTTTGAGAAACAAACCATCTTATGTCCAAAATCCTGACTTGTCTTAATAAAGAAGCTCTATTCCTGACATGACTTCACTGATTATATAGTCAGTTAACTGGGTTTACGTACTTCAGATGGTCTTATTAGTATTATTCTAACCATAAGATTTAAACTATTAATGGTGAATAGTGTTTCTCACTTTAACATAGGCTTATCCCACTGATGGGATAAATGCCAACTCCAGAGAAAAGTTAGTCATGTGGTTTTCAGAAGATGAAAGCTTAGATAAAGGCTGAGAGGGTTTAATGCTGGAGGTGGGAGTGGTATTATATAGATCTTAGCCAAAACATGTGATAGTCACTGACTCGGTAGCTGGAAAGGGGAGTGTGGCTCCATTAGCCAGCTCAGGCAGGCCGTGTGAGGACCGGAGGAAGAATGCTCCTGGCTGCCCTGTCCTGCCTGCTGTGGAGTTTCCGGAGCTCCGCCGGCCACTTCCCTCGAGCCTGTGCCTCCTCCAAGAGCCTGATGGAGAAGGAGTGCTGCCCGCCCTGGGCGGGCGACGGGAGCCCCTGCGGCCGACTCTCGGGCAGGGGCTCCTGCCAGGACGTCGTTCTGTCCACGGCGCCACTCGGACCTCAGTTTCCCTTCACGGGGGTGGACGACCGCGAGTCTTGGCCCTCCATCTTTTATAACAGAACCTGCCAGTGCTTTGGCAACTTCATGGGATTCAATTGCGGAAGTTGTAAATTTGGATTTCGGGGACCCGACTGCACAGAACGGCGACTTTTGGTGAGAAGAAACATCTTTGATTTGAGTGTACCGGAGAAGAACAAATTTCTTGCCTATCTCACTTTGGCAAAACATACCACCAGCCCAGACTACGTCATCCCCACGGGCACCTCTGCCCAAATGAATCATGGAGCAACACCTCTGTTTAATGACGTCAGTGTTTATGACCTCTTTGTCTGGATGCATTATTATGTGTCAAGGGACACGCTGCTTGGGGACTCTGAAGTCTGGAGAGACATTGACTTTGCTCATGAAGCCCCGGGTTTTCTGCCTTGGCATAGACTCTTTCTGCTGCTGTGGGAACAGGAAATCCAGAAGCTGACCGGAGATGAGAACTTCACCATTCCATACTGGGACTGGAGAGATGCAGAAAACTGTGACGTTTGCACAGATGAGTACATGGGAGGGCGAAACCCTGCAAACCCTAATCTACTCAGCCCAGCATCCTTCTTCTCCTCTTGGCAGGTAAGTGTGCAGGACATACCATATCAACGCTTAAAAGAACCTTAGCCATCACTTCTGGCAGGTCTTCATAAACCTCCTTTCCCATCTGTTCTTCTCCTGCCAAGCCTAGAAACTGTCCTCTGTCAAGAGCTCTCAGCATACTTCATAATCTTCCTTTATAGCACACTTCACAATTGCAGTTCCGTAGAGATTTGTGTGGTTCTGTGTCCAATATCCTGTACTTGGGTCCTAAAATCTAATGAATAAAAAGTACTTGGTTCATCACTCTATCTCCTAGCACATAATAAGATGCCAGGCAAATCGTAAGAGCTCATGAAGTATTTGTTGAACCAGTGGATGAATGAGTATTTAGATGATTAAGTAAAAAAAAAATGATTTAGGTCAATATTTCTGAAATTTTATTCCCAATAAAATTCAGTGCATAAATTGAAAATACAAATCTCTGGCCATATCCCAGGAATCCCATTGATGAGAATATTCAAAGGAGGGTCCTGGGAAGATACCATTTACTAAATGTCTATAGTGATTATTACCATTAGGAGTTTAGGGGAATATTACTTAGATTAAATCTTCTTTAAAAAAATATGAACACTCAGGCTTAAACAGATAAATAATGAAAATAGCTAATATTCACTGATCGATCAGCAAGTGTGAGGCCCTGTTCTGAGTGGTTTTGTGCATTAATTCATTTAATAATCTTACTAACCTTCCCCATGTTAAAGATTTCTTTTTTAGAAAACCTGAGGCATAGAGATATTATGTAACTTGTACAGGATATCAAAGCTAGTAAGCAGCAGAGACCAAATTTGTTCCCAGGTAGCCTGGTTGCATGACCACCCTATAATATTTCCAAGGACATATCTGCGATGATGTCTTTAGCCAAAGGATCTGGCCCATCCTGACTTACTTTTTTCAATAGGATGCAGAAGAAATGAGCACTTTTCCTAAACATGTGTAAACTTTTGAGGTATAGGATAAGAGATCGCTATTTTGAAATTTAATATCTATTTTTCCTATTTTTTCACTTTGGATTGGGGCAAAAGGTAGCCAAAGAAATATGCTTTTAATTATTCATTATTTTAAAACTATATGGTAGAAGGAATGCTTGTCTGCCTGTGTTCCAACCATTTCTAACACAGCAGTTTTGACTAGCTGTGCTTTATGGAAATAAGCTCAATATTTAAATAAGATGGGAAGAATCTTGCTTTCTCTCCTGGAACTCTGCAATTTTGAAATGTGAACTGCTTCCCAAATACTCCCCCTCCCCCACACTAAGTTCCTAGGACTTCCAAATGGACCTATTGAAACTCATTGAAAATGGTCACTGTAATATCTGGTGTCACTAATGTCAGCTATTTACCAAGAGAAAGGAGTGTATTTGTGCAGGAAAGGCTCGGAAAATGTGCTTCAAAAAAATCTATTTCAATAAGCCTTCAGACCTCCTACCTTAATCTATATAGTGCAAAACTCATCTAACTCTCACATCCTCTGTTACTGCTTAAAATACTGTTAAGCTTTAACATGGGATTTTTCAGTTAGCTATAATGCTTTCCTTAACTGTATAGGTTTTCTTGACCTAGAAAAACCAGTGGATTATCTAAATTACCAAAGTTAAAACATCCACTGAAGCTTCATAGGCAAATACTAATTGATATTTAATTACGTGTGTGTGTGTGTGTGTGTGTGTGTGTGTGTGCGCAAACGCGCGCGCACGCGCGCTCAGTTGTGTACACCTCTTTGTGACCCCACGGACTGTAGCTTGCCAGTATCCTCTGTCCATGAAATTTTTGAGGCAAAAATACTGGAGTGGGTTGTCATTTCCTCCTTCAGGAGATCTTCCTGACCCAGGGATTGAACCCATGTCTCCTGCATCTCCTGTGTTGGCTGGCAGATTCTTTACCACTGAGCCACCTGGGAAGCCACTTAATTACATGAGAAGTACCAAATTATGTTAACTTTTTCTATTCATTTATTGATTATTGAGTGGAATGTTTCTCTTTTTTCTTTATGATTGTATCCAATTTTACTTCTAAATAATTTTTTTGTGTCTAGTATGTAAACACTAGGTTAAAATAGTTGCAGCAGTAGATTTAATATCATTCTATGATTAAACCACTGTGTAATAACTGGTGTTAAAAATAATAGGAAATACAGGGGACAAAGACCACTGAAGAAAAGTGAGCAAACAATAATTTAAGTAAGGAAGGTGAAATGAGTGAACATTTATGTCCACCTGTTGTGAGCAGTGTCGCTGTGTGTGCTTACAGTCAAACTCAGTTCTAGCTGGCTATTTCCATTCCTTCCACATTTCTGGTTAAAATGAAGGTCAGTTATTTATATTGATTTAATGCAATTAAATCAATGCAACTGACCTAACTCCGAGAGATAGGGAAGCCTGGCATGCTACAGCCCACGGGGTCGCAAAGAGTGGGGCATGACTCTGCAACTGAACAAGAGCAATGCAGCGGTTCTCGGTATCTTCTAAATCACCCAACTAAGAACTTAAAGATTTGCATGTGCTGCACCATCTACCTTCTGCCAGAAAAAATGCTCAGGAGGTCCACTGTGAAGTTCAAGCATCTATATTTATAAAATCTTCTACTGTAATTCTAATGCAGAGCCAGCCCCTAAGAATGACTGATTTAATTAATATGGAAATTGTTTTGGTATCTCTTTCACTTTACAAACTTAGGTTCTATAATAAACATATCACTAATTTCAATGCTTTTGCCTGAATCAAACACTCAAATAAAAAACTAGACTGTGTGAGATGGTGAGACTAAATAGCTTCCACACTTGGTGAGTTCATTAATATCTTCCTAAGTAGCTATACTCAGCCCCTTTGGTAAAAAAAAAAAAAAAAGCCTCCTGCTTTTTCTTATTTTCAGACATCTCTTATTTCACACACACAAAAATGGAGTTTTCAGAAATTCATAGAATTTATTAACTCTTAGCTAAGAGACCACCATTGGTGTGTAGTGTTGTACCTACATTTTGTAAAAGATAGTGAGGGCCCCAAAGGTACAATAATTTGTCTAAGGTAACACAGCTGAGGACAAAAAAACCCAGTGCCTCTGACTCCAGTGCTATTTCAAGTCAACCATGCAGTTTCCTATTTATAAAGGGCCATTTAGGCTGAGAAAGCATCAAACAAGCCACTAATTCTGTAAATTCTGTCTTGCAGTCACTTTAACTCCCTTAAAGTTCAGTTGTACAGACAACTGCGGCAGATATTCTGAAGTAGTCCTTTTCATTCACATTACAGTGAAAATATTCCATTAGGTGTTTATTCACAACCCTTATTCAGGTAGAATTGACCTTCACCCTTGTGTACTATCATTACACTTTGTACAGATTTTATAACATGGTACCTATAATTCTTCAGGTTTTCAGACCTGTCTTTATCTAACAGACTGCCAGCTGTTCCAATGTGGAAACCATTTCTAATTTATCTTTATATCCACAGAACCCAGGAACATAATATACACATAGAATGGGCTTTCTCAGTATATGCTATATTGAACAAAATTGAAAATCACAGAAACATTAGCCCCATTGCTAACACACATAAAAAACTAAACTCTGTATACACATAGCTAGATTTCTAGAACCTTAAACCATACTTTATAGCACTGGATAACCAAGGCCAAGAAAACAATGATGCCAAAATAAGCAGCAATTTATAATCTGGAATAAAACATTTTTGGTAGCTTTCTCTAGGTGTGTGTGTGCAAAAAAAAAGAAAGCACACATAGAGAAGATCAAGCATGTTATAACCCAATCTGAGTTTTAAGTGAGACTAATAATATTTACTGACAAGGTTTATTACTAAATAAAGTAATATGTTAAAAAGCATTACTTAATTAATAAATGTTACTTTTTATAGAAAGTGTATTTTCAGTATTCATATCTCTTTTGTATATTTGTTCATTTATCTTTTTGGTTTGTTTAATTCCAAGAGCTTTTAAACTAGAAGCATTAAAGTGCTCCTGAATTAAAGCAGTTCACTGATTTTGGAGGTGGGGGGTGGCGAACTATGCTCAACACAGTTAGATCCAATATTATGCAAGCAGCAGATGAGCTAGCTGTAAGAAGAAAAGGTATTTCAAGAATAGCTGTTATGATGGATCAAAATAAAGAGAAAAAAAACATTTCCAAGATGATGGACATGAGTGAAGTATGGCCAGGGAATTCACTCATCAGGTGAAAAGCACATCACATGGAAGCAAACAGTAGGAAGAAAAAAAGTTACATTTCAGCAGAGAGTCATGGGTTTTAGGTAACCATGGCAACAGCTCGGTGAAATAACAGCTTCTCTTTTTTTCTTTATGAAAAAGATTCTGTGGAATGTCATATGTTTTACATTCTTTTAGACAAACCTCTAATGCCATAATAAAATTTTTGCTCCTAAAGCTTTTAATAACTGGGCTTTTTTTCTTGCTGTTTCTTTATATTTAAGAGAATACTAAGCTCACCTTCTCCATTAATACATCTGTTTCTTCTTTCTCTTTTTCATTTGATTTGGGACACTTGATTTTTCCCCACATTATATAAGTCACCTTTGCTGAAACAGAAAAAGAACAAATTCCTCATCAGAAGACTTTTGTCACTTACCACATTCTACCTCTGTCACAGATGATACTGGACAAGTCATTTGTAATCTTTGACCTTTGGCTTCTTTTCTCAACAGAAAAAATGGGGTGCAATTAAGATATATGTGTGCTTTCTGTGCTAATGAAAATACTAAGCTGAATGGAAAGCAGATTAATGAAGTGGAAGGGGATAGTCTTTTGAGCCATAAAAACATGACTTTTGTAACTCACTTAGTTACAAGATCCTGGAGAAGTCACTTAATTATCTGAGATCTTTTCCCCCTGAAAAATTAGAATAATATATTTTAAAGCATTATTCTGAAGGGATTCAATGAAAACTGTTAATGTAAAATGACTAGTTTAGTATCTGACATATTTTTTGAATTTTAAGTATGGAATTATTATCACAATATATCCTCATCATGTGATATATTGATGATAGCTATTATAATTATTATTCATCATGTGTAATAGAGTCAGGGTTAACAATTTGGTGGCCTGCCCAATAGTCTTGTATGCAGTAATAATATAATAGCTGTCATTATTAAACACTCTCTACTTTGGCATTGGCATTATATACTAAGTGCTTTTCATAGGTAAAATTATTTGATCCTTCATAAAAAGTTGTTATAGTCCCCATTTACAGATGAAAAACCTTGATATTAAGAGATTATGTAATTTGCTCAGTTTGGAAACCATGTCTGATTGCAATCTCCATGATGACAGCTAGTGCTAATACTTTCTCCTACCCTGCCTCCCCGTCTGTATCAAATATAAGAACAATAATTTGAGATTTATTTCAAATTATTTCTGGAACTGGGGTAGATTTCCTCCTTGTTACTAATACCTTTAGCCATCTGAACGTTTAGTCACTTGGCAGTTGTAACTTAAGCAAAATAGTTTCATTCAGACCGCTCTAAGTTAACTGAGTCTACTGCAGGAGTCTTCTAAGCAGAAGGAATTTTTAGATCTTTTGAAAATATCTGGATATGATTTATTATTCAAACAGGAATGAAAATGCTTCCATCTATATACATGCTGTGATGGGTAGTTAATTAACAGTATAAAGGGATCCAATATATTACATTTAATGTAAAAATTGTTGTTGTTGTTCCATCCTTAAGCTGTGTCTGACTATTTGCTACCCCATGGACTGCATACACCAGGCTTCCCTGTCCTTCAGTATCCCCCAAAGCAAAGAAATGTTTCTGCTTTTCAATATGCTGTCTAGGTTTGTCATAGCTTTTCTTCCAAGGAGCAAGTGTCTTTTAACTTCGTGGCTGCAGTCACTGTCTGCAATGATTTTAGAGCCCAAGAAAATAAAGTCTGTCACTGTTTCCACTGTTTTGCCATGAAGTGATGGGACTGGATGCCATGATCTTGGTTTTCTGAATGTTGAGTCTTAAGTAAGATTTTTCACTCTCTTCTTTCACCTTCATCAAGAAGCTCTTTAGTTCACTTTCTGCCATAATGGTGGTATCATTTGCATATCTGAGGTTATTGATGTTTCACATGATGTACTCTGATATAAGTTAAATAAGCAAGATGACAATATATAGCCTTGATGCACTCCTTTCCCAATTTTGAACCAGTCTGTTATATATATTTAATATATATTTATATATAAATAATGTGTTTAAGCATAATTTAAAAATAAACACATGTAAATATGATATATATTAACATTATATTTATTATTTCATATTACAGTTGAAGAAATTGAGATTCAGCAAGCCTAAATAATATATTCATTGACACATTGCTAGTAAGTAGCTGAACCAGAATTGAAGCCCACACCAATGTGAATCTGGAACCTAATTTTTTTCTAACACACAACCCTTGAATTAATAAGTGATATCTTTGTGACTGGAAATTAAAAGCTTCTCCAAGTGTCTGTCGTGTAACACAGTAGCAGCCATTCCCGGGGATCAAGGCTCATTCAGTTCTATTTGATGGTGATTTAACTTGGTGGCATTTGTGGTGAAGAACCTGCCTGCCAATGCAGGAGACATAAGATGCAGGTATGATCCCTAGGTCAGGAAGAGTCCCTGGAGGAGGGCATGGCAACCCACTCCTATATTCTTGCCTGGAGAATCCCATGGACAGAGGAGCTGCAGTCCATGAGATCGCAGAGTTGGACATGCCTCAAGTGACTGAGCACAACACCATAACTTGATTTTACATTCTCATAGGTTGCCAACTCACTGGAGTCGGACACTGATAGGATTGCCTCGATTATTCTTAACAGTGACATAAACAGTTAAGCAAGAAGACTCACTTTAAAAATATTGTTCCATGTACCTTGCCTGTTGCCCATAAAATTATTAATCATGACACAGGGCTTTAGATCCTACCAGCCTTTTATACTCTTCCACACTCAGTTTCCTTATCATTAAAATAGGAATAAAATGATATAAACCTACAAGGTCATTTGTGAATTTTAGAAACTGTACAAAGAGATGGCTTTCCTGTTGAGATTGGGGACTCAATATATGTTTAATACAAATGATACATTTTGAAAATATCTTTTAGGGCCAATGTTGTTACCAGTAACAGAACTAGGAAAAAATGGTGTTCAACACATGTTGGTAGTTGAAGAGTCACTGATTCTTCCATTGATATTTTTTTATTATTCCATCAAATATTTATAGAGTCTCTACTCGAAATTCTGGGGATGAACAAAAATGAAAAAAAAAAAAGAAAGTTATCTTCATGGAGATATTAGTTTTTTTTAAAAGGAGGTGCTACTGACTATCAAGGGAGATTAAAATGAGCCAAGTCTGAGTTTGACAAACAACCCTATTATCTACTCAGTGGGCACAGGCCTCTTATGGATTAAGTGCCGTTGTGAATAGCCACAAATCGCAAGGTGAGCTCTCCTGTACTTTATGCTTCGGTTTAAGCTTCTTATCTTGCTACCTGTTTAATTGCCCTCATGGAATTTAAGGCATCAATGATTTTAAGTTGAGGAATTAACTTACATACCACTGAGAAAAAAATATATGCTAATTACATTATAATGTGATATTTTTAATCACTTAGCATTTTTATTTTGTATTTATTGAAAGAACTCCTTTTGACTTGTCAAATTTTTTGATCATAGTTTATTCTTCTGTCAGCATATAAGTGAGGGCTTCCCTGGTAGCTCAGCTGGTAAAGAATCCACCTGCAATGCAGAAGACCTCAGTTCAATTCCCGGGTCAGGAAGATACCCTGGAGAAGGGATAGGCTACCCGCTCCAGTATTTTGGGGCTTCCTTGGTGGCTCAGAGAGTAAAGAATCTTCCTGCAATGTTGGAGCCTGGGTTCAGTCCCCGGGTTGGGAAGATCCCCTGGAGAAAGGAACAGCTACCCACTCCAGTACTCTGGCCTGGAGAATTCCATGGACAGAGGAGCCTGGCAGGCTACAGCCCATGGGGTCACAAAGAGTCAGAGACAACTGAGTGACTTTCACATGTAAGCGAAATTGTAAGCAAAATAATTTGGCAAAGGATCTCAAACTTCTTCAGATTTTAGAGTCGGACAATTTTGAATTACTTTTTAAGTCACAGTTGACTTTTTTTTCAAAATACTGGTTTAACCTTGAAGACTAAGTAGAATATCAGATAAATGGTAAGGAATGGATGTGCTTAGGCAGAAACAAAGGCCTGGGATGAAGCTGCACAGGTGATGCACAGAGAAGAGTAGCCAGTCCGACTTCCGCAGCTGGATCACAGAGTTTGTAAACAGAGATTCAAGATGTATTCTGGAGATAGAATTGACAAGTTTGGCTGATGATTTCAATGTGAAAAGTAAAGGGGAACAAAATACAAATGATAACAGTCTTTGGCTATAAAATGAAGATTTATGGACTTATGGTTTAAGTTTCAGGACAGTTGATTTAACTGGACGTATAGGGAGAGGAATACAATTTTTTAACCTTATTTTAATTTCAAGTTTTTTCCATTTTTAAACTTCTTTTTAAATAATTTTTATAGTAAAGTGGCTCGGTGGTAAAGAACACACTTGCCAGTGCAGGAGACACAGGTTTGATCCCTAGGTCAAGAAGATCGCCTGAAAGAAGGAAATGACAACCCACTCCAGTATCCTTTGGTGGGAAATCCCATGGACAGAGGAGCCTGGTGGGCTAAAGTCCATGGGGTCATAAGATTCAAACACAACTTAGCAACTAAACAATAATAACAACATAGTTGATTTAAATGCTGTGCTAGTTTCAGGTGTACCCCAAAGTGATTCAGTTATACATGCATATATATCTTTTTTCAGATTTTTCCCCTTATTAGCTATTACAAAGGAACAATTTTTTTTTATTTTTAAATACTACATTTGAGATGCCTGTGAGATAACACTGAAATATGAAGTCAGAGATGGATATACAGGGTTAGAGCTCAGAGGAGAGCTTTTGAACTTGAGATAGGAATTAGAAAGTTCTTATCATGCAGTGGCATGTATGCCATGAAACTGGTTATTATAGCCAAGGAGGCAGATAGAGAAAGAATTTAAAAAAAGGGTATAGACCTAAACTCTGGGCCATGGCTAGCTTCACAAGCATATGCCCAATGAAGTCACACAATGGATGTTTAGCAAATGTTTGTCAAATTAATTTTCCTAACAAATATTTGACAACAATTATATGAAGTAATTATTATTATCCTCATTTGCTAGATGAGACCTATGGAATTTATTTTCTTAAGTGGTAGATGCAAGACTAGAACTGTGGTCTGAACTGTAACTTTCATGGGTTACAGTTACTCTACAACCCTCAGAAAGCTGCTTCCTTCAACAATTTAAGACATGAATCTCATGATTAGACATCCAAATATCCAAAATCCAAATAAAGAATCCCAACCTCTCTACCTTCCCCCTTTTACAACACTCATTTAACACAAAGGCGTTCTGTGCAGATCGTCTGCAGCAGACTGGAGGAGTACAACAGTCGCCAGGCTTTATGCAACGGGACGTCTGAGGGACCATTACTGCGCAATCCTGGAAACCACGACAAAGCCAGGACCCCGAGGCTCCCCTCCTCGGCTGATGTGGAGTTTTGCTTGAGTTTGACCCAGTATGAATCAGGTTCCATGGATAAAGCTGCCAACTTCAGCTTTAGAAATACACTGGAAGGTAAATGCTTTTTCCCCTCACTCATTTAAATTTCCTTTTTTTCTAAATTTATGTTTACAAACTCTTATCCAAACCCTGGGCCTAGAAGTGTTTGCGAATATGATAATATAAATATAACCAATCACTCTAGCAGAATGTGGGTGGCACACATATTCCAAAACATGAATAACTCTTCAGGAAAATGTATGACTATACCTACTGTGGCAATAAATAGAAATAATAGGTGACCTAATGGAGAATAAAGTCTGGTTTTACCACTAAAATATATGGGTGCCAAACAAAATAACACATTTTTAGAATTTTTGTATTTTGGAATCATAGATATAGGACTGTGGACCTATCATATTTTTCTAACTTTTAGTATTTTTCTCTAGTTTAAAATATTCTGAACACAAGATTCTTTGAGACAAGTCCATGTTCTTAACCATAATAAGGATAAAATCCACAGGTCAGGTTAGGGTCCCATCCTGTTATCCCTCAAGTTTTCTGCGCTTTATCAGAGATTCCCTCTCACAGCCTCTTCTAAGGCCTACTTATTTCTCCTGCAAAGCTCTCAACCTTGCTTGCACCTTCCCTTAAGTACCTGTTCATCCTTCTCTGCTCAACACCATCTCAATCATGAGAACCCAACTCCGCAACCTCAATTTTCATTGTGGAAACAAACCTACAAACAAAGAGAAAACAGGAACATTCACTCAAGTTACAAGTTAATTTGAGTTCCAGGAAAACAGAGGCTGCCAATTTGTGGTAAGGCAGATACTTAAAATTTACCACTAGATATTTTATCTCTTTGGCATCTTACCATGGAGATGAAAGTTTCTCTTTTCCTATTTCCTTCCCCTAACCTCCTTAACTTTTTGCTTGATTCTCGTTATAGTGGTTGCTGCTGTGTCCTCTAACTTCCGTTGCTGAGTATGCAGAATAGTTTCATTGTCTCTTTCATTTTCCTGTATTCTTCTAGTCCCGAACACCTTAGAGCCTTGCTTTTTCCCAGAAGAATTTAAATAAGGAGAGTATTACCCTAAAGAGGAAACATGGTGCAGCTATTAAAATAAGAATTTTGTTTATTTTCCTTAAATAGTATTAGTAATTAATGTTTTCTAATAGTCAGCATATGCAAGGCACCATTGCAAAGATATTGTGTAGCACTGTCTCGATTCTTACAACCATTCTCTGAGGAAGTAGCATTGTTATTTCCAATTTAAAGAGAGGAAACAAGATCAGAGATATTAAGTAATTTGGCTACCATCCATTTGGTAAGTGGCAGGGCTAAATATGTTCCTAGATTTGCCAAGTGCCAAAATCCAAGAGTCCTTTCTATTATATTCTGATAACCCTGAATGAGTTGAACATTTTTTGAAGGTTGAATATCAAGCTGGTCCTACAATAATATAACATGAGAAGGCAATGAATGGTGTCCAAGAGTCTGAACCTACAAGCTAAAAGAAAGGCACACAGACAAGTTGGTGATCACCGCATGGGAGGACTGGGCACATTGTTGGATTTTGCAGCGGTTAATAGCTAGATTCCAGATGTGGAATTAAAGACATTATAAAGCAGGGCTCGATTCTTAAGGTAATTATAATCCATTACAGGTTCAGTCAGTCCAGTCGCTCAGTTGTGTCCAACTCTCTGCGACCCCATGGACTGCAGCACGCTAGGCCTCCCTGTCCATCACCAACACCCAGAGTTTACCCAAACTCAAGTCCATTGAGTCAGTTGATGGTGATGAGTCCAGCCATCTCATCCTGTCGTCCCCTTCTCCTGCCTTCAATCTTTCCCAGCATAAGAGTCTTTTCAAATGAGTCAGTTGTTTGCATCAGGTGGCCGAAGTATTGGAGTTTCAGCTTCAGCATCAGTCCTTCCAATGAATATTCAGGACTGATTTCCTTTACAATGGACTGGTTGGGTCTCCTTGTAGTCCAAGGGACTCTCAAGAGTCTTCTCCAACACCACAGTTCCAAAGCATCAATTCTTCAGTGCTTAGCTTTCTTATAGTTCAACTCTCACGTCCATACATGACTACTAGGAAAACCATAGCCTCGACTAGACGGACTTTTGTTGGCAAAGTAATGTCTCTGCTTTTTAACATGCTATCTAGGTTGGTCATAACCTCCCTTCCAAGGAGCAAGCGTCTTTTAATTTCATGGCTGCACTCACCATCTGCAGTGATTTTGGAGCCCAGAAAAACAGTCTGTTACTGTTTCCCCATCTATTTGCCATGAAGTGATGGGACCGAATGCCATGATCTTAGTTTTCTGAATGTTGAGTTTTAATCCAACTTTTTCCCTCTCCTCTTTCATGTTCTTCAAGAGGCTCTTTAGCTCTTCTTTGCTTTCTGCCATATGGGTGGTGTCATCTGCATATCTGAGGTTATTGATATTTCTCCCAGCAATCTTGATTCCAGCTTGTGCTTCCTCCAGCCCAGCGTCTCTCATGATGTACTCTGCACATAAGTTATATAAGCAGGGTGACAATATACAGCCTTGATGTACTCCTTTGCCTATTTGGAACCAGTCTGTTGTTCCATGTCCAGTCTAAAATGCAGTACTTGGATGCAATCTCAAAAACAACAGAATGATCTCTCTTCATTTCCAAGGCAAACCATTCAACATCACAGTAATCGAAATCTATGCCCCAACCAGTAATGCTGAAGAAGCTGAACTTGAATGGTTCTATGAAGACCTACAAGACCTTCTAGAACTAACACCCCAAAAAGATGTCCTTTTCACTATACGGGAGTGGACTGCAAAAGTAGGAAGTCAAGAAATACCTAGAGTAACAGGCAAATTTGGCCTTGGAGTACGGAATGAAGCAGGGCAAAGGCTAACAGAGTTTTGCCAAGAGAACGCACTGGTCATAGCAAACACCCTCTTCCAACAACACAAGAGAAGACTTTACACATGGACATCACCAGATGGTCAATACTGAAATCAGATTGATTATATTCTTTGCAGCCAAAAATGGAGAAGTTCTATACAGTCAGCAAGAACAAGACTGGGAGCTGACTGTGGCACAGACCATGAACACCTTATTGCCAAATTCAGACTTAAACTGAAGAAAGTCGGGAAAACCACTAGCCCATTCAGGTATGACCTAAATCAAATCCTGTACAATTATACAGTGCAAGTGAAAAATAGATTCAAGGGATTAGATCTGCTAGACAGAGTGCCTGAAGAACTATGGATGGAGGTCCGTGACATTGTACAGGAGGCAGGGATCAAGACCATTACAGGTTATTCAGACATATTTTATAACAGTGAGAAAGCATGAACTTTGTTATCTGGGAAATTAGGCTGATCTTAAAAATAACATAGGGAGCCTCATTTCTCTGGCTCTCAAGTCAAAAAGGAAAACTGGCTTGAGTGATGTCAACAGAGCCAGTGGCTTTCAAATAAGTTTCTAATATACAGAATTAGTAGAGGATATCATGCTTATTGTAAATAATTTGTTAATACTAATAAGTTATGTTTGTAAATAATTTTTTTTTCATATAAAGCATTCTTATGTACACAAAATCTAGTATTCTTTCTTGAGAAGGAGAGAAAAGACATTATAGGACATAATATTAATAGTATTCAATGTGTGTTTGATGATGAAAACATAAATATTATCTAAAACTCTTCCAATTGCACATAACCCAACACTTAGTTTATCTATACCGATTGTATGAAGCCTATTTGCTGGTAGCAAGATGTCAAAAAACATTGATCTCAGTCACCAGCAAGAGCTTTTCCTTATAAGGGACACATTTCTTTATTCTTATCTTTAAACTTTTACTGAGAAATAATGCTAAGCTTACAGAAAAATTACAACAATAAAATCTATAAAAAGCCATACATATGCTTTATATTCAGACTCACTTACTGTTTACATTTAAAATTTTTTTCTTTCATTCACACATATACTTTCTACTCAGATTTGCTTACTGTTTACATTCTATATATTTTTTCTTCCTTTCTCTCTTATTCTGAACCATCTGAGAATAAATTGCATAGATAAATTGCCAGGGTAAAGAATACTTTACTCTTGGATATTTCAGTGTATCTTACACAGAGACAGTTAACAACTTCAGTAAATTCTATATAGGTGTAATGCTTTAATCTAATCTGCTGTTTATATTGCAATATTTTTAATTCACTAATAAAATCCTTTATATCATTTTTTCTTCTCTGTAACAGGGTCTAGTTTAGGGTAAGGTGGCATTTAGTTGTTCTGTCTCTTTGAGCTTCTTTTAATCTGAAATATTTTCACAACCTATTCTTAAATGACATTCACAATTTTTAGAGAATATAGTCTCCCAATTTTAAATAAAATGTTCCTACTTTTAGTGGGTGGGCCTCCCAGGTGACTCAGTGGTAAAAAGCCTACCTGCCAATGCAGGAGACCCTGGAGATGCGGGTTCAGTTCCTGGATCGGGAAGATCCCCTGGAGTAGGAAGTGGCAACCACTCCAGTATTCTTGCCTGAAAAACTCCATGGACAGAGGAGCCTGGTGGGTTGTAGTCCATGAAGTTGCAAAGAGTTGGACATGACTGAGCATGCACACAACACATTTTAAATAGAATTTTTAATAGAATGAATCCAGATAGTGTATTCTTAGCCAGAATTTTATAGAAGTGTTTTGTGTCTTTCTAAGAGAGTATAACATCTGAAGGCACATGGTGAACATCTGTCTCACTTTGGCGATGTTAATTACATCACCTGCTCTAGGTGTGGCCCCGATTCCCCACTGCACAATAACCATTCCAGATTTCACCACTGAGCACACTTTTAAGCTGATTCTTGTGACTCTGTGTCTCTGTTTCATGACCCTATCATTTTTAGCATTTCTTTCTTTTTTTTCTGGTGCAAAAAAGTAGTCTAGATTCTTCTTGTGCCTACACTGCCCAAAGCCTGGAATCAGCCATATCTCCAAGAAACATTGGTTCCTTTCAGTGGGGAAGGACAAAGACAAAGATCTAGATCGAGAGAATAGTTTGCTCACTGGAGAGACACAGTTCATCTCAAAACCAGGATAGGAGCTAAGGATGCAGGGTGTCTTGGGCTTCAGGGAGTGCTCAAGTGGGTACAGCTGCCGGGAGGACAAGACTGGAGAAGCGGGAGCACAACCAGACCCTGCTCTGTGCTCCCTCGGTTAATGCAGGTGGAGCTGAACTGTGGGTTTTGATTGAGCCTCACAGTTACTGCTGCCTTTTTCTTTTCTTTTGGGTCTTGTTAGAGGTATGTAATATACTCCCCATAAAACAGATTCTCACAGTTAATCCTGGGATGGAGGAACTGCAGCTTTCCTCTTAGATTTAAATGCTGAAGTAGAGATTGAAGATGTGCGATTTATGAATGGCATAAAAGATCCCCAGAAAGCAAAGAAAAATTAGCATGCATTATAAAAGGTAGCCTTCTGATTAGGTGGTCCCTGTGGAGTATGGACTATGGATTCAAAGAAGAATCTTCTCATGTGCAAATCTGTGATACCCATGGTGTGTTACATTGCACACTTTATAATGTTAATGCAAAATTCATACTGGAGTGTATATTGGAAGATGGGTATGGGTTGGCAGTTTAGCAAAGTAGTTAAAGGCAAGCAAGGTAACTGGGATTTGATTTAAATTCTACCACTTCCTACATCTGTTACCTTGAGTAAGCTATTTAACTTCTCAGGGCCTTAATGTCATCATCTGGAAAATGTAGATAAGGATAATAATTTACAGTGTTCATATAAGGATTTAACAATATAATACATGTAAGGAACATACAAGATTTCTTCAATAAATGGAAGCTATTATTATGTTAAACTGGAATTAGTTTTTGACAACTTGGTTATCAGTCATTAATTTTTTTGACAATTAGCTTAGAAGCAAAGTATAGACTGAGTCCTGAGAAAACAGATTATGATGTGCTAGGTATAGAGAAAAACATAGGGAGGAGCAAAGATAGAAAAAAAATTTCTTGAGATAGACTCAGGGAAGGACCATTTCTGGAGATAAAAGCTATTGCTTTTCAGGGTGAATTCCCAGAATCA